ATATATATATATATATATATATATATATATATATATATATATATATATATATATATATATATATATATATATATATATATATATATATATATTCAGTGCAGGCTGATAACTTTTATATCAGATCTACTGGTGGTTTCGATCACAGAGCTTAACCTCCTTTGATTTTCCAGCTTATTCCGAATCTCCTCAAACACGCTGCTGTTGCATTCTGCATCTAAATCAACTCCTGTCCAGCAAGTTCAGCACAACTAACGCATGCTAAATACTCCCTCATCACCTTTTATTGTGTCTTTTCATCTTCTGACTGCTGACAGTGGGATGAAATGTGTTTGACGAGGTTATGCTCTTCACCATCAGTCACTGCGCAGATCCTCAATAGTGGATGAAACTGAATTTGTCAGTGACTTTGCTACACTGGCTCCTACAAATGTGATTTGAGTTATGTCCAAGAGACGAGAAAGAGCAATGCTCAATCCTAATTCAATCAGAAGTGTTGGGATTTGTTTTTAGCCGTTTAGCTTGCTAGCTTCAAACCTTTTTTAAAGGGGTGGTTCATCCAAAAAGTGAAAATGTACAATCAATGGTAATACTTAAGTTTAGGTCACAGTACACATTATTAACAAAACGTTAACAGATTGACAGATTGATTGATTGGCTCTAGAACACTCATCTGAAGTGTTGTCATACAGTGTTATGCTGGATTTCATCAATAGCCTTGCATTTACTAACACAGACTATATCTGAAGTGTTTGAAAGTCATTCGCTTTTTCCTCCTGTAGGAAAACATCATAAGAACAATACTTAGTGGCTCAATGTAGTAAAGCAGTGTTTTTAAAAGACTAAACACTTTATTGATATAGTGTACAGCCAAGCACATGTGGTCAGAACAAAAACGAGTCGCAGGTGATAAAGTATTAAAGGGCCATGAAACACCCTCGTTTCAGCAGGGTGTTTTCACACCTCTACTTTGGAAAAAGTCAGAAAAGTGGGCGTGTCCAGCTCTGTTTAGGGGGGAGTGTCGGAGGAACTAAAGTGGGAGGGTGTGGGAGTGTCTATTTGGGCACGCGCGAGTTTCAGTCAAAATACACACACATGAGAAAGTGATGGTGTTTAACCTACATGGACATCTGTAGTCGAATTATTTGCCAAATTATTAAATAGTGGACTTTAACTGCAGTTTGGCTCTTTCATTCAGGGAATTCATTCATGCCCCTCGCGACAAACGCGATATTTGATTTGAGGATCTGCTCTAAGCGTGTATTTTTCATGCAATGTTTGATACCGCACGGCGAATGAGAGAAAAAAAACTCTGCATTTCCTGGAAACTTAGATGCACACGGCAGGTAGCGTCAGAAAGCCGCGTGTGTTATTCCGGTCACAAAATGTGGCGCTATGTTTGCACTCAGTGCAATAGTTAACTTAATTCGATACGAACAAACTGAATAAACAAAGAGCGCTGGTCGCTCACTTACCAAATCTGTAGAGACAGGACAATCACCAGCAACTTAGAGCCGCGTCTTTATGAAGAGAAGACTAACGTTACAAGCGAATCCGGATACAGCGTTT